GAGTCGGGCTGAGTATGCTAAACTAGAGAGAGAATCGCTGGCAAGGGGGCTACAACTACAACAAGATGAACATATTTGACCGTGATTTAATTGCAATACACGTTTCATAATGATGCCGAAGTAACAACATACTGATACCGGTTAGTAAAAACCATGAATTAATGCTTTGACATGTCTGCAGACACGACGGCAGGCGAAAAACCTTTTTAAAATGCGGGTTTTCTGAATGGAGCTTGGCTAAGCTAACGTTGTAAATGCTCCGATCGTCCACGCTCACAACAACGGCCTATACAGACATAAATAAACCAGCGACTGTATTTGCCATGACACAGACAGTCTGTGGTTTGTACTTGTTTAACTTTTGTCTAGTTTCTGAACAGATATGAGGAGCTGTGAGCTTGAGTGCTAACAGCTAANTTTTGTCTAGTTTCTGAACAGATATGAGGAAATGTGAGCTCTGAGGGCTAACAGCTAACGGCTGATGTTGTTTTTCTGGGGTTCTCATTGAAGAGGACGTCACGGCTCCGCCTACACTATAGATACTGCCCCTGTTCCTAAACTGTAATGGCAATGCGCCATAAAGTGAGCAAGTCCTAACAAGGCCTAACGAGGCCTAGCCATACCGAGCAAGGCCGTGTAGTGGAAATGCGGCATTATTCTACTTTACCTGTGTGTCTCAGGAAGGTGAAGTTTGCATTTACTTTTAAGTCATCAGGGGGTTCTCAAAAGGTTGTTGTCAGAAGTGGGATTCGAACCCACGCCTCCAGAGGAGACTGCGACCTGAACGCAGCGCCTTAGACCGCTCGGCCATCCTGACATAGGAAGTGATGTCATCACATCAAATCTGACTCGAAATGATAAAATACAGACACTATATAATTAGATTTCAGTCCATTTATCAGTCAAAAAGGTGACAAATTAAAAATAAAAAGTACAGAATTCTGTTATTTAAGACTATTAGATTGTCAGTTGTAAGCTATTTATTTATTATACATAGTTCAGGTATTATTCCTGTATGACATTTAACATTTGAATGTTTTGTAGTCATCTTTTGGTACAGATGTTTTGACAGTATTGCATAAATGTTTAAAACAAAAAAATCTAAATTGACGCAATAACCTTTTATAATAGCCACTTTAAATTTAAAACGTATTAAAAAAAATATTTGTTTGAATTGCTTTTGAATCACTATTGCCTTGAGTATAGGGGTGGGCGATATCGAACAATATAATATCACGATATTTTTCAAGCAGTATCACGATAGACGATATTTATCACGATATTTTTTCATGTCGGTTATTACGGTTATTTTTCAAGTTACTTAACAGTACAACCACCTACAAGGTAACAAAAA